ATATGTTAGTTTTTTGTGTATCTTTCCAAAGTTTTTTTTTTTTTTTTTTTTTTTTTGCGACGGTCTCACTCTGTCACCCAGGCTGGAGTGCTGGAGTGCAGTGGTGTGAACTTGGCTTGCTACAACCTCTGCCTCCTGGATTCAGGCAATTCTCATATTGAGATTATAGACACCCACCACCCAGGCTGGTGTCTAACTCCTGGCCTTGCCTCCCAAAGTCCTGGGATTACAGGTGTGAGTCACTGTGCCCGACCTATCTAAAATGTAGATACAATATTAGCAAATATGAATGTTTTCTTCTTCCTCTTACATAAAAAATAGCAAATCACGTACACTATTCCACATCTTATCATTTTTTCTTCACCACTGGATAATATACCCTGGAGATCTTTTCATGACAACGTGTAGTTTCCTCTTTTCTTCATTTATTTTTTTTAAATTGCAGAGCATAATATTTCAGTGTGTAGATGGAATCTTTTGGATACTGGAGAATTTCCAGTCTTTTGCTATTGTATATAGTGCTGCAAATATATATGTACATATACACAGAGGTATATCTGTAGGACAGATTCCTGGAATTGCAATTGCTAGGTCTGAAGGGTGAATGCATGTGGGTTTTGTTAGATATTGCCACATTTCTCTTCATAGAGGTTGTACTGTTTTGTTCTTAGACAAACAGTGTATAAGAGTGCCTTTTTCTCCCATAAACGGTTGTCAAACTTTTTGATTTTTATCAGGTGAATAAATTATATCTTGGTATGTGGGTTTTTTAAAACACAAATTTAAAAAATACCCTTTCTTTTTAGAGCAGTTTTTTAGGTTCAGGGCAAAACTGAGCAGAAAATAAAGAGTTCCCTTCTGCTTCCTGTCTCCCACCATGCACCACTTCCCCAGCTTTCTGGATGTCCTGCAGCACGATGGCATATTTGTTAAAATCAACGAATCTACACTGACATATCATTATCACCCAAATTCCACAGTTTACTTTAGCATTCATTTTTAGTGTTACACATTAAATGGATTTTAACAAATGTATAATGACATGTATCCGTCATTGTAATATCAGGCAGAATAGTTTCACTGTCCTCAAAATCCCCTATTCTCTGCCTATTCATCCCTCCCTCCCTTTATCCCCTGGCAACCACTACTTATTTTACTGTCTCCATCATTGTGCCTTTTCCAACTTGTCATATAGTTGGGATCATATAGTTTGTAGCCTTTTCATATTGGCTTTTTTTTTACTAAGTATTAAGTACATTTCCTCTATGTCTTTTCATGGCTCGGTAGCTCATTTCTTTTTAGCACTAAATATTCCATTGTCAGGATGTACCACAGTTTATCCATTCACCTACTAAAGGATGTCTTGGGTGCTTCTGGGTTTTGGCAATTATAAATAAAACTGCTGGAAACTTCCATGTGGGCTGGGTATGGTGGCTCATGCCTGTAAATCCTAACACTTTGAGAGGCTGAGGTGGGAAGATCGCTTGAACCCAGGAGTTCATGACCAGCCTGGGCAACATAGTGAGACCCTGTCGCTACAAGAAATTAAAAGATTAGCTGGGTATGGTGGCCTGTGCTTATAGTCCCAGCTACTCTGGAGGCTGAGGTGGGAAGATTGCTTGAGCCTGGGAGGCTGCAGTGAGCCATGATTATGCCACTGCACTTCAGCCTGGCAACAGAGTGAGACCCTGTCTCAAAAAAAAAACAAAAAAAAAACACCATGTGCAGGTGTTTATGTGGACATAAGTGTTTGAGTAACTATCAAGGAATTGGGTCATATAGTAAGAGTATATTTAGTTTTGTCAGAATCTGCCAAACTGTTTTCCAAAGTGGCTGTACCATTTTGCATTCCCACCAGCAACGAAGGAGAGTTCCTGTTGCTTCACATCCTTGCCAGCATCTGGTGGTGTCAGTGTATTGTCTTGTGGCTGTTCTAATAGGTGTGTAGTGGTATTTTTTTTTAAGTTGTAATTCCCAGGAGACATAAGTTGAACATCTGTTTGTATGCCTGCTTGCCATTTGTGTGTCTTCCTTGAGGAGGTGTCAGTTTTGGTCTTTTACCTGTTTTTAAAATGGGATTGTTTTCTTCTTCTTGTTCAGTTTTAAGCTTTCTTTGTTTACTTTGGATTAACACTTTATCAGCTGTATCTTTTGCAAATATTTTCCCCCGGGCTATGGCTTGTCTTCTTATTCTCCTGATAGATTTTTTAATGAAGCTTAACCCATATGGGAAAGTGCAAAATTGAAAATACGTGTATAGCTTGATGAGTTTTCTAAGCTAATCTATTATTGGCTTCTCAGTGTAGTTTGAATTTGCATTTCTCTACGGGCCATTTCTGTTTTTTTTCTCTGAACTTTTGGTTCAAATCTCTTACCCACTTGTCATGTGAATTACTGACTTTTTTTTTTCCCCCTAGGAAATCATTAAAAACTGGGGATGGTATTTTGTCTGAGATGAATAATATTTTTTGCCTCCTTTCTTTCATCAGTTTTTTGACTTTGCTGTTGGTTTTGCTATAACAATTAACTTGAATTTCCTCAAATGGGTACATGGAATCTCCTTCTCAGGACTCAGCTAGTTTTCACTGTTTTCCAAAATTCTTCATGTTTGTTGTTGTTGTTGTTGTTGTTGTTTTGGAGACACGGTCTCACTCTGTCGCCCATGAAGGAATACAGTGGCACGATCACAGCTCACCGTAGCTTCAACTGCCTGGGCTCAAGTGATTCTTCCCCCTCTGTCTCCCCACAGGTGTATGCCACCATGCTTGGCTAATTTTTTTAAAAAATTATTTGTAGAGACGAGGTCTCACTATGTTGCCCAGGCTGGTCTTAAACTCCTGGGTTCAAGTGATCCTCCCACTTTGGCTTCCGCAAGTGCTGGGATTACAGGCGTGAACTACCTGGCCTGGACTACCTTTTAAGGTTTACATAAATAGCTCATGTTCTTTTAGTGCTTTTTGTATATGTTTATCTTAGCATTTAGTCACAATCTTTATCTCACCTGTTTTTCCGTAGGCCATAAACTCATTGAGGGCTAGGATGCTTGTTTTATTCTCTCTCTGTCCGTGCTTGGAGCACAAGAAGTGTACAATACAACTGTTGAATATAAATGATTGCTTCTTTGTTTCTTCGATTTGGTGCCTTTGACTTTACAACCATTGCTTTCTTTACAGCTGATGCTATTAATTTGTTATTGTTGAACCAACCAAGCAGTCTTACTTACCCCCCTTGTCATCCTGTCATTTTCTGCTACTTCCTTTGAGGATTGTTCTGGAGAGACCTTGACTTTTTCTGGAACCTCTGTGAGAGATAACAGATCTTTTAAACATTTACTTCTTCATAATTAAGGTTTATGGGAATGTTTTGATATAAACAAATGATGCTTTACTTCTAAGTATTTTTTCTTTTCTTTTTTTGGGGGGGAACAGTGTCATATCTTATTTTCCTTTTTTGTTTTTGTATGTTTCTGTAAAATAATTTTTTAAAAGCTATACAAAAAGTGAGGTATTCGTGTAATAAAATTCCATGTACTGGAAGCTTCAGGAGTAGGTAAGTACTTAATACATCATTAGAGTTGTGCAGGTTACTAGAGGCTATCTAGGGCTAACTTCCCACTCCAAAATGCAAGATAGTAATTTAGATAGAATTTGAATTTCTGTATTGATAGGAATTTTAGCCTCTTTGGTTCAGTCTGTTTCGTTATTGAACAGCTGTATTTGTAAATTGAGCTAAACTATGCCTCTGAAGAAACCCTGATCCAGTTTTAACCGCTTTCAACATAAGACTTTTAGTTTGTTGAAGACAATGATTATAGCTTTCTTATTAAGCTGAAATAAAGTTAATTTTAAATGGCATCTTTTAAAAAACTTGTGGTACTAGTAAAAAAAAAAAACTGACACACATCTTGAAGACTAAGAGAAACAAATTCACTTTCCTTATTGATTTGTCAATTGATGGCTACTGGTAGTAGGGCCAGTATTTTAAGTTAATTTCTGATTTAAAACTTGAACATATTTTAACCACGTAAGCAGTTTTTATATCGTTTAATATTAAGTTGGCAGTCCACAAATGGAAACCCTGTCAGTCATGGTTTATAGCCTTTCAGTTCTCTACTCACCATTATCTAATAGATGCTTTATTTATGAGATCTTTAAAAAATTTGCTTTCCATTCAGAAATTGCTAATTCAGATTATTTCCTTAATTTCCTTTTTTTATCTTGAGACAGGGTCTGGCTTTGTCACGCAGGCTGGATTGCAGTGGCATGATCTCAGCTTACTGCAACCTCCATCTCCCAGATTCAAGCGATTCTCCTGCCTTAGCCTTTCCCGAATAGCTGGGATCACAGGCGTGCACCACCACACACCCAGCTAATTTTTGTATTTTTAGTAGAGACGGGGTTTCACCATTTTGGCCAGGCTGGTCTCGAACTCCTGACCTAAAGCAATCCGCCCTCCTTGGCCTCCAAAATGCTGGTATTATGGGTGTGAGCCAGCACACCAGGCCTATATCCTTAATTTCAGAATCACTTCATGGCAGTGTATACATAGTAATATATGTGTCAGTTATAATCTTATTGTTAAAATCAAGCAGCCCAGGTTATTTAAATGATTTCTTCTTCTTCTTTTTTTTTTTTTTTTTTTTCCACCTGGACTCTTTTATTAGTAATAGATTTGAATAGAAGGTACATTCTGAGAGAATCTTTATAAGCCCTTAACTTCTTCATGAAAATGTTCAGGTCACTTAATATTCTGAGTTGATTTTGCCCTGTAATATATTTATCTGTGGTTTACCACAATGAGAATTACGTATGGAACATGTTTGTTGAATAGTTTAAAATAACTGGTTATATCTAGCATTATGTTTAAGCATTTCTTTAGCTTGTTTGTATAAAATGAAGAATGTGTTTTGTTCTTATTGGAAATTCAAAACTAGAATGCAGTATATCTTTTTCCTTGATTTCTGTACTAGAATGCAATATCTCTTTTCTTGATTTCTGTAGAGCAGGTTGTTGCCCTGGATGCCCAAAATATCGTAGCTGTTTCATGTGGAGAAGCTCATACGTTAGCGCTAAATGACAAAGGCCAGGTGTATGCTTGGGGTCTCGATTCTGATGGACAGCTTGGCCTGCTAGGATCAGAGGAATGCATCAGAGTACCCAGGTAACAAAGGTGACCAGAAAGAGGTCCTTAATAATCTTTTAAAATAAATTTATTAATCTATGTCGTTCTGCTTATCTTTGGGCATGTAAAAGTTGACATCTCATTATTTCTCCCCTTTGAGTCCTTTGATAAGAGTTTGGTTCTTGCTTATGATGTTAGTTGAGCTATTGATTGGTTTGCTATTTTTATATACTCTATATTTTCTCTATAATCAATAGATTTATGTTTGTAAAAAAAAAAGGAATAGGAAATACTTGCTTCATTACAAATTCTTTTAGTCTGTTAGACTAATTTAAACGACTATCTTGAGTATTCCTGCTATTGAAATATTTATTAAATTATTGATTTGTTGAATGTTTTTCACTAACTTGTCTTTTTTTAGTCTTTATTGTTTCTGTTGAGTATAGAAGTCTAACGTGCTTACTGTAAAAAGAATGTAGTCAGTTTCCACTTTTTACATAGCAGTGACCACAATTTAATTAATTAATCATATAATTATTTCACAATTAAAAAATAAGCAGTGCCTCATCAATGTTTTAGTCTTACACAGTTACAGAGGGCATAATCATTTTTTGTTTGTTTGTTTGTTTTTGAGACGGAGTCTCACACTGTTGCACGGGCTGGAGTGCAATGGTGTGATCTCGGCTCACTGCAACCTCCGCCTCTCGGTTTCAAGCCATTCACCTGCCTCAGCCTCCCAAGTAGCTGGGATTACAGGCTCCCGCCACCACATGTGGCTAATTTTTTGTAGTTTTAATAGAGATGGGGTTTCACCACGTTGGCCAGGCTGGTCTCGAACTCCTGACTTCAAGATTTGCCCACTTTGGCCTCCCAAAGTACTGGGATTACAGACATGAGCCACCATGCCTGGCTAATCGTTGTTTTAATATTAAAAACTCCAACAGCATGAATTACGTAGGTGAAAAATATACAGATTTAAAGAAAAGTATTCAGTTTATTTTAGATACATAAATAATACGTTAACTCATACTTAGTTTTAAAAGTTATACAAATTCTGACCTCTTTAAACTCTTTTGTTCTTTTTCCTAGTAATAGTTGTAGGGATAAAAGAACTATACTGGGACCAAGGTTTTTTTTTTTTTTTTTTAAGACAGAATTTTGCTCTTGTTGCCCAAGCTGGAGTGGAGTGGCGCGATCTTGGCTCACCACAACCTCCGCCTCCCGGGTTCAAGCAGTTTTCCTGCCTCAGCCTCCTAAGTAGCTGGGATTACAGGCATGCGCCACCACACCTGGTTAATTTTGTATTTTTTTTAGTAGAGACGGGGTTTCTCCATGTTGGTCAGGCTGGTCTCGAACTCCAGACCTAAGGTGATCTGCCCACCTCAGCCTCCCAGAGTGCTGGGATTACAGGCGTGAGCCACTTTGCCCAGCTGGAACCAAAGTATTCTTAAGTTAATTTTAGATTTACTGCAGATGGCATTTTTCTACACATCTTTGTGTATTTTGTTTTTAACATTGATAAAGTTTGTTTTGGTTTGAGAATGAGGATGTAACTACTGGAATAAGAAAATGGAGCATAGGAACTCTTAATTTGACATGTTATATCATGTTAATAATGAACTATCTGTTGAGACTTTCATTTTTTTAATTGAACTGATAACCAAATTCCACAAAACTCCCCAATTTGCTTACCCTTTGTTTCTTCTGCACTAATGCACACAATTCCCAGTGTGCTTTTGATTCCTCTTAATGATGGAACTTTTGGGAGAAAAAAAATTTTTTTTCTTAAGTTAAAGCATTCATAAAAGCATAATGACCTCACATTTGACCCACCCTCTACTCTTTTTATTTCTTCTCACAAGTAATTCTTATAGAACAGGATTTTAAATTTAAGATTTTAGGCCGGGTGCAGTGGCTCACGCCTGTAATCTCAGCACTTTTGGAGGCCGAGCAGGGTGGATCACAAGGTCAGGAGTTTGAGACCACCCTGACTAACACGGTGAAACCCCATCTCTACTCAAAATACAAAACATTAGCTGGGCATGGTGGTAGGCGCCTGTAGTCCCAGCTCCTCGGGAGGCTGAGGCAGGAGAATGGCATGAACCTGGAAGGCGGAGCTTTCAGTGAGCCAAGATCGTGCCACTGCACTCCAGCCTGGGCGACAGAGCGAGACTCCATCTCAAAAAAAAAAAAAAAAGATTAAAAAAACTGTGTTTTTAGGATGAAAAGATATTTGTATGTTAGATCTTCTAAGTCTGTATTCTCAAAACCATGTGATTCATGGCAAAACTTTGTTTCCTTTATTTTTACTCTACCAGTCTGATGATTCTCATACTTAAATTTTTGTTGATGTTCACGTTTAAGGGATTTTAGCCAGTAATACATCGGTAAATAATAAATGAAAAGAAAGTTAATTATAAGGAGAGAATTTTATTATTTATAAAATTTATATGAGGGTTGTCCAATAATAACTATGAACCTGGATGGGGACCTGAAAGAGAATTTACTTGAGTTCTTTGGTTTAAACATCTTTATTTTTGTATGTGTTCAACATCTGTATTAACTTTAAGCTGTATGTTAAGGTATTTCTGCTTTTCATCCTTTTCAATTTTTCAAAATTTGATGGCTTGATCTGATTTGTTGTAACATATATATAGTTTTTACTGATATTATCAGGTTTTAAAGGGCCATTTAGTATTTCAGTGGAAATGTATTTTTATAAAAGGAAGAGTGCCAAGTGAGTTTTAGTTTTAATTTCAGTACCAAATCATTTTTTAGATGTAAGGTGTTTATAGATTTTTGTTTGTTTTTTGAGACAGGGTCTCACTATGTCACCCAGGCTGGTTTGCAGTGGCATGCTCACAGCTCACTGCAGCCTCGACCTCCTGGACTCAAGTCATCCTCCCATCACAGCCTCCCTAGTAGGTGGGACTACAGGCATGTACCACTATGCTTGGCCAATTTTTGTATTTTTTGTAGAGACGGAGTTTCACCATGTTGCCCAGGCTGGTCTTGAATTCCTGGACTCAAGGGATTCACTGGCTTTGGCCTCCCAAAGTGTTGGGATTATAGGCATGAGCCACTGTGTTCTCCCTAGTGTTTATAGATTTTCGTAAGAGTAATCAGAATAGGCTGGGTGTGGTGGCTCACACCTGTAATCCCAGCACTTCGGGAGGCCGAGGTGGGTGGACCACAAGGTCAGGAGTTCAAGACCAGCCTTGCCAAGATGGGGAAACCCCGTCTCTACTAAAAATACAAAAAATTAGCCAGGCAGGCGCCTGTAATCCCAGCTGCTTGGGAGGCTGAGGCAGAGAATTGCTTGAACCTGGGAGGCCGAAGTTGCAGTGAGCTGAGATTGCGCCATTGCACTCTAGCCTGGGCGACAGAGCGAGACTCCATCTCAAAAAATTTTTAAAAAAAGAGTAATCAGAAAAGTGAAGATTCACATTAGGTTATACTTTTGTGACAACAAAATCCATTTTTTATGCCAATGGATGGATAATATTAAAGAAGAATGTGAAAATAATAATAGGATATAACTGAAACTAATTAGTTTGATAATGAATTCTTTCCTACTTCTAATTTTGTTTTGTTTTGAAGTCACTACTTTGGGAAAGACCAGGTATTTTAAATAGTGTCTGTAGACCTGCATTTCTGGCTAGATTTTAATGTAGAATATATATTACACCTTTTTATTTAAAAAAAATTAACCCAAATTTTATTATCTTAGTTTAATGTAAGTGGAAATACATAATTTTGCACACAGACTTCAGAAAAATAATTGTTGGCAATAAAGATGTAGTCTATCTTCTAAAAGTTCTGCTTCTTGGACATGCATTAAGAAATTATGGCAAGATAGTATAAGATTATTATTTTTGTGAGTACAGCAATTTCTGGACTATACAAACTAAACATATTTGAATTATTGGCTTGGTCACAAATACAATTTATTTTCTTGTTATTCATTTTAAAATATATTACAATTCCTGCCTAATTTTAGCATCTGAAAATTTGGAACATTATAGATTAAAAAGAAAAAGAGTAGTTTTTAATGGTATAGACTAGATCCGTTGTTAGTCTAAATTTTTCTTTTCTTTTTTTTAATCAACTCCCCTATTCTGAGATAAATTTTTCAAAATTGAAATGAGTTGGTGTTAAGATTTTTCTTAAATAACTAGGAAAGTTGTGGCTTAACTGGAAAATAGAAAATTGTTAATTGTGTTTAATTGGCAAAATATTTAATACTTTAGCTCCTCAAATGTTTGATTACATATTATAAACTTTTTACTAATCGTTAACATTAGTGGTTGGAATTTTGTCTTCAGAATCATAACTAGCAATGCATGATTTCTGCCTGTATTGCCACTACGCGTTAAGTTGGAAAAACAGAAGAATATAATAGTGTACACATTCCATAATTAATATGCTTTAGCAGAGTCCCAAAGGAAGGGTGTATAAATTTGATTTCCAATGCGTGTGTGTGTGTGTATATATATATATTTTTTTAATTTCCAAAATTTATTCTGGCTTCTTTTCCTTTTTTCTTTTTTTTTTTTTTTGAGATGAAATTTCACTCTGTCGCCCAGGCAGGAGTGCAGTGGTGCAATCTGGGCTCACTGCAACCTCTGCCTCCTGGGTTCAAGCCATTCTCCTACCTCAGCCTCCCAAGTAGCTGGGACTACAGGCACCCGCCACCATGCCCAGTTAATTTTGGCATTTTTAGTAGGGACGGAGTTTCACCATATTGTCCAGGCTGGTCTTGACCTCCTGACCTTATGATCCGCCCGCCTCAGCCTCCCAAAGTGCTGGGATTACAGGTTTGAGCCACCGCGCCCAGCGTTTCTTTTGCTTTTCTGTTCAGTGTATTCCAATCTTCAAAAATTAAAAATGATTAAACATGTTATCTTTTTTATGTGACAAAGGGGATTACTTTTGATAAATTCTAAAAAATTTAATTATATTCTAATTTATCTCTTTAGGAAAAATGGAACATGGAAACTTTGTTTTACCATTCACAATATTTTTTAATTTCTGAAAGCTAAAACAAAGAAAACAAAGCCAGTATCTCCCCATTCTTCAGGGTATTAATACATTTATATGAAGATGAAAGGGGATAGTTTTTTCTTTAACACAGTAATGACACAGAAGAATATGTTTCCTGATCTCTGTAGTAGATAATGGCAAAAGATATTAGCATTTATATGTATTACAAGCCTTAGGTTAGTATTTTGGAAAGGAGAGTAACTGAATATAAATTGCTATGCAAATTTAGAAGATTTTTGGCAAAATTTGTGACTAATACTGAAGCCTCCAAGACCTTACAAATTTATTTATCCTTTAACAGTATATTCATTACATACTATTAATTCGGCACTATAGCAGGTGCCAGGCATTATCATGGGTGTAAGACACATGGTTTGCCTTCACAGAACTTACTGTGTAGCAGAGGAGACAAATATTCAATGAATAGGTACCCTAGTAGTTAGTAGCGATAAATGCTATGAAGGAAGAAACATAGAGTACTGTGAGAATGTAGTATTTTGAAATGTTTCTTTTGCAAAATTGTGCTTGATACCCGGAATAGTGTTTTTTTCCCTAAAATACTTAATATGCTGAACAGGTCAGTGTATCATCTGCCTAGTACACATAAGCAATAACAGTAAATGTTTAGTAATTTGAGCATAGTTATGTATATTCATGTATTTTTTATTCCTTCCTCTGTTTGCATTGCCAGTGTTTGATTTTGCTATTTCAAAGAAATGGCGTTTTGTTAAGTGAAAATTTGAAGGTGCATTGGATCCTGCTAATTTGTTGGATTCTGCTAAATTGTAGCAGTACATTTCTCAAGTTTCGTAGTTAAGAGCATAACTCCACTAAATAAAAATATTTTTAATACAATAATATGGAATTAGAGTAACTCTCCTTTTTCCTGCTCAAAATTTGATTTGCTGAAGCTGCCTCCCGAAAATCATGTGTGTCGACTCTGTGGTCAGAATTTGCTCCGGACTCTCTTATGGCAGAATCAGGTCAGGTGACAGTATCAGGTAAAGGGAAATAAGAAACATATTGTGTACCTCCCTATCCCGCCGTTTTTTCTTTTTTGTTTTCTCTTTTTTTTTTTTTTTTTTTTTTTTGAGACAGGGTCTTACTCTGTCACCCAGTCTGGAGTGCAACGGTGTGATCTTGGCTCACTGCAGCCTCTGCTTCCCCGGGTCCAAGTGATTTTCCTGCCTCAGCTTCCCGAGTAGCTGGGACTACAGTGTGCCACCACACGTGGCTGATTTTTTTTTTTTTTTTTTTTTTTTTTAAATTTTCAGTAGAGGCAGGGTTTCACCAGGTTGGCCAGGCTGGTCTCAAACTCCTGACTGACCTCAAGTGATCTGCCCATCTCGGTCTCCAAAAGTGCTGGGATTATAGTGACCCACCTGTAATCCGCATCCAACGTCCCCCTTTTTTTTCCTTGAAAACATTCATTCAGGAAAAACAGTAACATGACCAGGCAAAGGGAAAGAACCTATGGAGATGCTGGGATGGTTGATGTACAAACAAAGTTAATTGATTTTTGTAATGTTTTAAAAATGAGCCTTTAAAATTGTGTGGTGGTAAAACAAAACTCAGGAAAGAGGGGAAAGAAATTACAAAAGTATAAGGACAAAATACAAAAGAGAAGAAAATAAGACTTAACATATTAGTAGTGATTGTTATAACTGTGAATTGAGTAAATTTCCCGAGTAAAAAAATTGAATGTCCCTGATTTAGACATAAAGTAAAAGGATAGCTTGTAAGGAATAGGTTTCATAATTTGAGAGTTGGTAGAACATATAAGAATCCCTGTTGGTTCTTAAGAAACCTGTTAAAGGAGAACATACATTAAACTAGGCAAAATACCAGTTTTAGGCGAGTTAGATAATGTACATTTGCTTTCCAGATGTATTGCCAAGTTTCTAACTGTAAGCTGATTTAAAAACACTTTTTTATAATGAAAGAAAATGTCTGAATTATAAGAGCACTCTGAGGAATACTTGAGGTATGAGCGTAGCTCACTTTGCTTAAATACTGTCTTTCCAAGATGTGTTCTTATCACCCCTTTTAACTTTATTTTTTTGTATCTTGCTCTTGTTTACTGATTTTAGCATAAATTTTTGGTATGCTAAAATTGGGCTTGTATGAAAAAAATAATATGACCTATATGCATATAGTAGGCCATCAATAAATAACGTAAATAGCATTCAAGATCAGTTTGTTAAATGGAATTAACTGATCTTGATCTGTCTTCTTCTTTTCTAGAAATATTAAAAGTTTGTCAGATATCCAGATTATACAGGTTGCTTGTGGTTACTATCATTCACTTGCACTTTCTAAAGGTAAGCATTAGTTTTTATTTTATTTCTCTTCAGTTTTATTACTTGGTACTTTTTTTTATTGTGCATATAGTTCTCCAACTTCGTTCATCTTTCTCCAAGATTGCCCTGGTTCTTGATTCTTTTTATTTCCATGTAACTTTTAGAATTAACTTGGCAGTCTGTACACACACACACACACACACACACACACACACAGAGCTAGGAATTTGATTGGAATTTCATTGTCTCTATAAATCAGTTAAGGATATTGAACCTTTCAATTCTAGAACACGGTATATTTGTCCATTTAAGTCTCCCTTTAATTTTTTCCATTAGCATTTTGTTTTACCTGGACAGGTTTTAAACACCTTCGATTAGACTTTCCCCTAGGTATTTGATTTTTTGTTGTGAATGGCATCATTTTTTGTTTATTATGTAGACATGAAATTGATTTTTGTGTCTGTTTATTAAACCGTTAAAAACTCTTCATAGCTGTAACTGGGGAGGATTGCTTCCCCAATCTCATTCAGTCTCATAGATGAACTTTCTATGCATAGAAATAAAGAAGGCTAAACATCATATTTATTAGCTTTGTATGCATTCCTCTCTTACCAATTTAACTTACTAGTATTCTAGCTAAGGATTGGAATATGGGCTAGTAAAGAATCTGCCATATGTATGTTTTTTACCATTAAAATAAATAGGTTTGCTGGGTGAGGTGGCTCACACCTATAATCCCAGCACTTTGGGAGGCCGGGATGGGGGGATCACCTGAGGTCAGGAGTTTGAGACCAGCCTGGCCAACATGGTGAAACCCTCTCTCTACTAAAAATACAAAAAATTAGCCGGCGTGGTGGCACACACCTGTAGTCCCAGCCACTTGGGAGGCTGAGGCAGGAAAATTGCTTGAACCCAGGAGGTGGAGGTTGCAGTGAGCCAAGATCGCGCCACTGCACTCCAGCCTGGGTGACACAGTGAGACGCTGTCTCAAAAAAAAAAAAAAAGAAGAAATAGGTTCCATTTGCTCCATTGTTACTATTTAGTGTTACTATTTAGTGAAGCCTACTACAAATAAAACACTAAGCTAGAATCATGGGGAAGCACCGATAAATTAAGAGACAGGTTTAGGGATCATACAGTCTAGTGAAAGAGACAGATGTCCAAGTAAATAACTAGTTTGAGGCAGAAAAAAATATGTATTATTTCAGACAAGGTAAAAGTAAAATACTGTGATGATATAATTGTTTCTAATTGATATAATTGGTAACAGTAAGGAGGAGAGGATTAGTATTTGATGCAAGTCTTTAAAGATTTTTTTTTTTAATTAATAATTGGAGAAATGCTGAGAAGGACAAGGAGAAACGTTGAGTGGCTAAGGGAGTTATGCTAGTGTAAAGGCATAGAGTTAAGAAAGTGGTGTATTTGACATGTAGTTTTATGTGGGTGTTGTGAGAGAATGGGAGACATACTCATACTTCAGTTTAGGCTGAAATAAAAAGAGAAATCTGTTATAAAGGGCCTTAAATGTCATATTAAGGAATTTGGACTTCTGTAGGCAGTTAGGAACATGGAATCTCTGTGTATTCTTTGTTGTTTTGCCAACTCCTCTTTTGATATTTTGGTAGGTGGATCTAACATAAATTTAAACTCAGAGGTTTTACTGAGGACAGTTTCATGTTGACCTTTTTTTTTTTTTTTTTTGGGTTTTCCCCTTTTTTTTGTGGGGGAAATTTTTTTTTTTTTTTTCTTTTTTTTTTTTTTTTTTTTTTTGTGATGGAATCTCGCTCTGTCGCCCAGCCTGGAGTGCAATAGTGCAATCTCGGCTCACTGCAAGCTCCGCCTTCTGGGTTCATGCCATTCTTCTGCCTCAGCCTCCCAAGTAGCTGGGACTACAGGGGCCCGCCACCACGCCCTGCTAATTTTTTGTATTTTTTTTTTTTTTTAGTAGAGACAGGGTTTCACCGTGTTGGTCAGGATGGTCTCTATCTCCTGACCTCGGATCCTCCCGCCTTGACCTCCCAAAGTGCTGGGATTACAGGCGTGAGCCACTGTGCCCGGCCACTAAACATTTTTTAGAGCCCTTAGTATGAACTAGGCATACTACAGCATACAGTAATAAGCAGTATACTACTTACTAGCCCTTGTGATACAGTCATTCAAATAATGATATAGTTACATACTATGGTAAGGGCTATAAAGAAAAACTTTAGGGTATTTAGAACATACAGCAGAGGTACTAGACCTAATCTAGGAGATCAGGGAAGAAAGGCTCCTACTGGGAGAGAATTGAAATGAACTGGACAAAGATGAGGGGAAGGTTTAGGTAGAGAGAACAGCAAGTGTGTGAGAAGTGGCCATTGGAGAATATAAAGGAAGGCAAGTATGGCTAGAGTATAGCGAGTGAGGGAAGAGACTGATATGAGAAGAGATTGGAAACATAGGTAGATCATACAGCATCTTATAGGCCTTGTTTAAAGTGTTTATCCCAAGAGCAATGAGAAAGCACTGAAATATATTTTTTGGGGTGAGCAATATTATCAAATCTGCATTTTTACAATATCTCTATACATGTATACAAATGTCTGTTTATATGCACATAGAACATTTCTTGAAGGACTTACCAGTAATTGGTGAGAGTGGTTGTCTCAGGATGGGTGTGGTGGCTCATGCCTGTAATCCCACCACTTTGGGAGGCTGAGGTGGGTGGGTCGCTAGGTCAGGAGTTCAAGACCAGCCTGTCCAACATGGTGAAACCCCATCTCTGCTAAGAATATTTTTAAAAAATTAGCCAGATGTGGTGGCACATGCCTGTAATCCCAGCTGCTCAGGAGGCTGAGGCAGGAGAATCACTTGAACCCGGGAGATGGAGGTTGCAGCAAGCGAAGATTGCACCACTGCACTCCAACCTGGGCGACAGAGCAAGACTCCATCTCAAAAAAAAAAAAAAAGAGTGACTGTCTCTTGAAAGAGGAACCAGGATTCTGATTTTTTTTGGAAGGAAGCTTACTTTTAAGTGTGTACTATTTTGGAATTTCAATTAAAAAACTCAGTTATTAGTGTATCAGTTATTTAGTGCCAGTTGTTAGTTTAATAAAAGGATGTCTAAAGTTGCAAAATACGATGGCAGTATGGGAGCAAAAGTGACAGGCAGGGGAAACTATTATAGGAATCAGTTAAGATGGTGAGGAATGGATCTATTTGCCGTATTTTTCTTTAGAAAGAAAACTGTATATAAATTGGTGATATATGATAGACTGGATATCTGTGAAGTTAAAAAAAAAAAAAGAGAGAGAGGAGTATTAAGGAAGACTCCCTAGGTTTATAATTGTAGCTACTGAGTCAGTTATGATGTTATTTACCAAAATGGGGAACACTGGAAAGAGGTCCAGGGAAGTAGGATGGGGGTAATGAATTCAGTTGGGGGCATCCTAAGTTAGAAGTTCCTTTGAAATTTCCAAGTATAGATGTCAGGTAAACAATGGGTTATGTGGGTTTTTTCGTCAGGAGAGGTTTGGGCTATTGATAATATTTTGAATGTGATCAGCAGATAGCTACTGAAGTTTGAGCTTGAATGAGTACCTCTTGGGAGAAACTACAGAATAAAAATGAGACTTGAGGAATATTAAAAGGAGACTGTTGAGGATCATAAGGAAATGAGATTACTCCTTGTTATATGACTCACCTGTTCCTCTGTGTAGTCAATCAAACTTAAAGTATACTAATACTGAATGTTCTTCTAGGTAGTAGTATATGTTCATATAAGAAAAATAAGCATAATTGCTAAAAATAATATTTATATTCTTTTGATGATAGGAAGAATGTCCCAAAATAATACTCTTTGTATGAAATTTTAAATGAAATGATTATTTTCAAATTAAATTTTTTGCTTATAAGAAAAATGGTTAATTTTTCCGTTATTGTTTTACAGCAAGTGAAGTCTTCTGTTGGGGACAGAATAAATATGGCCAATTGGGTTTAGGTACTGACTGTAAAAAGCAAACTTCACCACAGCTGATTAAGTCTTTGCTTGGAATCCCTTTCATGCAAGTTGCAGCAGGAGGAGCCCATAGTTTTGTACTCACCCTTTCTGGAGCTATCTTTGGATGGGGACGCAACAAGTTTGGTCAGCTAGGTCTTAATGATGAAAATGGTAGGTTCTCATTATGTATAGTTTAAGTGTGTTTTTTAAAAGAGATGATCTTTTGAGATAGATCAGTGATTCTTAGTATAAGAGAGAAATGTATGTTCCCTGGTGTAGAGGTGGGGATAAGATGTTATTTAAAAATTCCATTTGAGGAATGCAGTGGGAAGACACAAAATATCCTTTTTTCATTAAAGAACTATAAAAACTATATCTGGACAACATCTTTAGTATTGGATGTTTATTAAAAGACAGTTGAAAAACATTACTTCAAATTGTTAATCCACTGTTGGCCACTGTTAGTGGAAGGAAGCTGTAAAATTATTCTGGGGAAGTAACATGAAGTGTTAATCTTTGAGTTTTTCAAGGAAATATTTAAATTATTTGGATTAAATTAATCTTTGGTTGGGCTTCACTTTTAACATTGATGCTAAAGTCTTAAACATTTTGAATTTGAAAAAATTAAAATTGAAACAAGTTGGGATCTTGGAACTTATTTTTCATGATTACATTGAGTTGAATGCCAGTATTTGACTTACAAAAGCTAATTTCTTATAGTTCAATATAATTGTAATGACTGAAATGGACAAAAGTGAGTTGTTAATCTGATAACAATTAGTAATGATAAACAAAGAATTAAAGAATACCTTGTTTTTCCTAAGAAGAATATGTCATATTAGGATATCATGTATCTTTTCTGCTACAAAACAGCCTAAAGTACATTTTTTTTTCCAGGCTTTTAAGTAGGCTCCTGTTGGTGTAACTATCATGAAGTGAATATAAAGAATGATGTGTATATGTGGAAAATTAGAAGCAGTTAAATAATTTTGAAATTCCTTGATTGCTGAGTCCTGTATAGACTGGCATATTGGCTGTTTAGCACTTAACTCTTTAAGTCCCTCCTTTATCACAATAGTATGGATAGGCCTGGGAACCCAACTTAGGAAGCTTGTACTACAAAATCATTGAATCATAGTTAAAATTATTTACTCACAACTATCTACTGAGCTTGGGAAGCTGTAGAGGAAACACATCTAGATGAGTTTTAATTTTTAAAATATTATTAACATCTCTTGTTGGAATTTTCAGATAGGTATGTTCCTAATTTACTAAAGTCACTAAGATCTCAGAAAATAGTTTATATTTGTTGTGGAGAAGATCATACTGCTGCACTAACCAAGGTATTGTACTTTTAAAACTTCTTTATTATTGCTCATCATAGTTCTTTCATAATTAATGAATGTTCTCATGATATTTTCTCAAGTTTTAACTTGAGTATTATTGGTATTTCAAATATAATTTATCTGGGAAAAAATACTTAGATTATTCTTGAAAATAATTTACCTAATTTTTCAACTTTGTTTTATGTTATAAAATGTGAATTGATACACTATTATATGTAATGATAGTATATTGCTGAATTTCTCAGCTTTATATGAAATACTGCTTAAGTCATACTTTGAATAAAATTATTCCATTTTAGTTCATTAGGCTTACCATGATACATGTATCAAACCCATTTATATTGTGTAGCTCAGCCTAATTTGAATGTAGTTTCCATTTGGCTTATAAATACTTCATACAAGCAATAGAGGAGATGAATCTGTCTGTTATTCATAGGCCAAGTATTGTGCAAGCAGTTATAGTGAGCTTTGATCAGAGTTTTATCAATGGCTTTAACTCTGACCTCTCACTGTCTTGGGTATGTGCCAATTAAGTATCAGTACTGTTTAGTTCTCGAGTGACTAGAAGTTAGATGAAAATGAAAGCATTCAATTAACCTTTACCAGAGGATTATTTATTACAGTCATGTTAATGTAAAGGAATTTGCAAGTTTTTCATTGCTCAAGTTAGAAACTGGTTAAACTTCTTTATCTGTTTTGGTCTTACATAGTATATAAAATTGGTAAAAAGACATTATTGTCCAGGCATGGTGGCTCATGCCTGTAATCCCATCGCTTCGGGAGGTTGAGGCAGGTGGGTTACCTGTGGTCAAGAGTTCAAGACCAGCCTGGCCAACTTGGTGAAGCCCTGTCTCTACTAAAAATACGAAAGTTAGCTAGACATAGCGGCAGGCACCTATAATCCTTGCTACTCGGGAGGCTGAGGCAGGAGAATCAGTTGAACCTAGGAGGTGGAGTTTGCAGTGCGCTGAGATCACACCACTGCACTGCAGCCTGGGAGACAGAGTGAGACCTTGTTTCAAAAAAAAAGATTAACTTCTAATCAGGCTTTAAAATTCTGCATTATATTTCTACTTGGGAATTTTAGCAAGACAAGAATTATTCTTCATTATTGTCAAATATAATGAACTCAAGGCACTTTTAAAAATATAATGACCAATTATGAAAGTTAAAGTATTTTGTATTACTTGCCTTTATTAAGGAAGGAATATTATACCTGCCAATCTTATTATTAGGTTGGTGCAAAAGTAATTTCGTTTTTTTGCCATTAATAGTAAAAACCACAATTACTTTTGCACCAACCTAATATCATATTTTATTGATTTTGGTGTTCAGATTACAAATGTAATCACTGAAGTCTTATTTATTCCTGTTGGCAAGTCTTACTTTTTACTTGCCCTTTTTTGTTATTGGTATTTGGAAGAAATTTATCAAAATATAAAAAATACCATGTGTGATATAATTCCAAAAACTTAATTTTACGGCAGAAAGGCTAACAATGTTAATGCTTTTCAGATTTAGCCTTTCAGATAACCATTCATCCTCATGTTCTAGGATAAGTAACTTTGTGTCTATTTAGTTTTAAGAAATGCTAATTCTGTACTCTTTTGTATTCCTCTGTCAGAAGATAGTAGCTAGTGACATTTGTTTATTGGAATTTTGGGTGTATATTATTTTTAACAAAATTAGATAGTTGTAAATATCCCCAAAATAAAATATTTTCTCTCGATTTAAGTTAAAATACATGTTCTATATCCATATATCTTTCTTTTCTGGAAGAATTTCTTGGAAATAGTAAATAGATTAAGATTGCTTTATGAAATAGTCTTCTGTACAAAACCTACACTAGGAAAACTGCATTAGGAAAGATTTTAAAACTAACTTTTAAAAACAGAATAAATGGAAAGACATGCCATGTTTATAGATATGAGGATACTTCCATAAAGATGTCACATTTTTTTTCAAGTTTATTTGCAGATGTATTATGTAAGTCACATACAAATACACATTTTGATTTAGCAGACCCACTTTTAGGAATCTACCCCAAAGATTTGAAATTATGTATGCACAAGACCATTTATTGTAGCATTTTAATAGCAAAAGACTAGGAGAAATCCCTATGTCCATGAGTTAAATTGTGGTACATCCCTGTAATGAAGTACAGTGAAGTGTAAAACAGAATGAGATACTTATGCTGTGGAATGATTTCTATGATATATTGCTAAGTGAAAAGAGCAAGGCGTATGGAACAGCTATCTTTTTGTAAGAAAGGGACCGAAATATGAACATACATCATATGCCATGTATGTTTGTTTGTTTTTGTTTTTGTTTTTGAACAAAAACTCTGTCTCCCAGGCTGGGGTACAGTGGTATGATCTTGGCTCACTGCAACCTCCACCTCCCGGGTTCAAGCGATTCTCATGCTTCAGCCTCCCAAGTAGCTGGGATTATAGGCATGTGCCATCACACCTGGCTATTTTTTGTATTTTTTTTGTAGAGACGTGGTTTCACCATGTTTGCTAGGCTGGTCTTGAACTCCTGACCTTAAGTGATCCACCTGCCTCTGCCTCCCGGAGTGCTGGGATTACAGGTATGAGCCACTGCACCTGGCCATGTGTGTTTTTAAAAACACAATCATTTAAAATTAATAGCCAGAACAAATGTGCTTTGCCTTATAATTTTTTACTTTGGAATCTAGAAACTGTTACATGTAATTAAAAAGCAAAATTATGGCTCGGTGCAGTGGCTTACACCCGTAATCCCAGTGCTTTGGGAGGCCGAGACAGGTGGATCACGAGGTCAGGAGTTCGAGACCATCCTGGCCAATGTGGTGAAACCCTGTCTCTACTAAAAATACAAAAAATTAGGTGGGCGTGGTGGCAGATACCTGTAATCCCAGATACTCAGGAGGCTGAGGCAGGAGAATTGCTTGAACCTGGGAGGCGGAGGTTGCAGTGAGCCGAGACAGTGCCACTGTACTCCAGCCTAGGCAACCGTCTCAAAAAAAAAAAAAAAAAGCAAAGTTTTATATATATATGTAAAAATTATATGTAAATTATATACATATTAGTCCTTAAAAATGGAAAACTAACAAGTTGATGACACAACTACACAAGAAAGAATTATTTTAGGTGATTTTAAAATACAGCATTTTGCTGTACATCACTGGGGGAAATACGCTAAGGATAAACTGAATCCACAAAGAAATCTTAAACTGCTTTCTTTTCCTTTTTTTTTTTTTTTCTTCTTTTTTTTTGAGACAGAGCCTCACTCTGTCACCCAGTCTAGAGTACAATGGTGCGATCTTGGCCCACTGTAACCTCCACCTTTTGGGTTCAAGTGATTCTCCTGCCTCAACCTCCTGAGTACCTGGGACTACAGGCATGCGTTACCACGCCCGGCTAATTTTCTGTATTTTTAGCAGAGATGGGGTTTCACCATGTTGGCCACACTGGTCTTGAACTCCTGACCTCAAGAAATCCACCCGCCTTGGCCTCCCAAAATGCTAGGATTACAGGCGTGAGCCACTGTGCCTGGCCCTTAAACTGCATTCTGTAACTTTTTTTTTCCCTGAGATGGGGGTCTCACTCTGTTGCTCAAGTTGGAGTGCAGTGGCACAGTCATAGTGCACTGAAGCTATGACCAAATTCTTGGGCTCAAGCAGTCCTTCCACCTCAGTCTCCTGAGTAGCTAGAACTACAGGCATGCGCCACTATGCCTGGCTGATTTTTTTTTTTTTTAATTTTTTGTAGAGATGGTGTCTCGCTTTGTTGCCTAGGCTGGTCTGGTACTCCTGGTTTCAAGTGAGCCTCCCACCTCAGCCTCCCAAAATGCTGGGATTACAAATGTGCATTCTGTAGTCTTACTGTTAGAAGTAAATTTGCTATTATCTTTTTTCCAATATGTTACATATACATAGGAGAAAGCAAAGAAGTAGTTATTTTACTGTGTTATAAACTATGATTTTCAACTTAAAAGAGATAGGTGTAAAACTATAGGAATTAAGTTAAAACCTTGTGATCTTTACTTTGAATTGCAAGTGTTAGTATGAACTCTTTATTTTTCTCCAAGAATATGCTTTTTGTTTTGTTTTTGTTTTTGTTTTGCCATAACCACTGAAAGGTCCTAGAAGTAATGAACCATGTATAATCTGGACACAATGATAATCCTTTGATTGTTATAGATTCTCCACTAAAAGGAACCAGGCTTCTTAGAGAAGAGTCTGATCCCATGTCTGGGACAAAAAATATGTATAAGAATACTTTTGGGCATTTTGTGTTATAAAAAAGCAAAGATTACTGTGGTCCTGTCAGAAGAACAACTTGAAGGAGCTTTCACTGGATATGGAGAAGAAATAATGACTGCAAAAAATGGAAAACATCAGATCTATAAAAAAATCCATGAGTTCGTAATGATCTTCTCTTCCCGCAAATCAACATAAGCAAAACTTATTGCTTACCTTGGGAAGTTGCTAGGACAACTCTCATTTTTTTTTTTTAACTGGTCAGTAATGGGAAAGAATCAAGTATTCTGCCTTTCATTTGCAATTTGTATTTTAGGTAATTTAATAGTTAATGAGTCAAATTATTTATAGAAGAATTTCAGTTCATAACTGTAGGAAAAATAATAAAACTAGAAAAATCACCATTTTAGACTCCCTGATGAAATAATGGATCCAGGCAAAGACCATTAAGCCTAATGGGGATGTATCAGGCTGACATACTTTGACTTATTTTTATTTTTTATATATATATGTGTGTATATATATGTATTTTTATTGAGATGGCGTCTCACTGTGTTGCCAAGGCTGGAGTGCAGTGGTGTGATCTTGGCTCACTGCAGGCCTCTGTCTCCTAGGTTCAAGTGATTCTTCTGCCTCAGCCTCCCAAGTAGCTGGGATTACAGGTGCACACCACTATGCCCAGCTAATTTTTGTATTTTTAGTAGAGACGAAGTGTCGGCGTGTTGGCCAGGCTAGTCTCAATCTCCTGACCTCAAATAATCTGCCCGCCTCAGCCTCCCAAAGTGCTGGGATTATAGGCGTGAGCCACCGTGCCCCACCTGACTTACTTATTTTTAGCTTCACTAACAAAGCAGACATATGATTTGTGACATGATGCAATAAAATAATCAGGAAGATTTAAACATGGCTATTGATTTTGTGAATGTGATAATAGTATTACGGTTATATACTTTTATCTCTTAGAGATATATGCTGTTGAAGATACATACACATTTGTGGGTGAAATGGTATGATGACCACAGTTTGCTTTAAAGTACTCAAGTGTTTTTTGTTTTGTTTGAAAATACCCCCAAAAGGGAAAGGGAGACACCAGTGAAACAAAATAACCAACCTTTTGCCAGTTATTGAAACTGAGTGATGGTTATATGGTGATTTACTATATTTTCTCTTTACCTTTGTGTATTTGCTTGAAATTTTCTATGATAAAAAAACAAAAATGAATGTTCTCATATAACAGTATGTAATAATGCTATTAAATGATGAAAGCAGGATATAAAGTTGCATATATAGCTACAACTATGAAGAAAAGCAGTTGAACTGAAGAATACTAATTGTGATTGTGTTATCACAGATTTTTTTCCAATACAGAACTTCTAATTTAGTTATATGTTATATGTTTTTTTGTTTGTTTGTTTGTTTTGTGACAGAGTCTCGGTTTGTCGCCCAGGTTGCAGTTGAGTGGCATGATCTCGGCCCATGGCAACCTGCGCCTCCTGGGTTCAAGCGATCCTTCTGCCTCAGCGTCCAAAGTAGATGGAACTACAGGCGCCTACCACCACGCCTAACTAATTTTTTTTTTTTTTTGAGATGGAGTCTTTCTCTGTCACCCAGGCTGGAGTGCAGTGGCGCAATCTCGGCTCACTGCAAACTCTGCCTTCCGGGTACAAGCAATTCTCCTGCCTCAGCCTCCCAAGTAGCTGGGACTCCAGGTCCGTGCCACCATGCCTGGCTAACTTTTTGTATTTTTAGCAGCGACGGGGTTTCACCTTGTTAGCCAGAATGGTCTCGATCTCCTGACCTCATGATCTGCCTGCCTCAGCCTCCCAAAGTACTGGGATTACAGGTGTGAGCCACCACGCCTGGCCCTAATTTTTGTATTTTTAGTAGAGACAGGGTTTTGCCATGTTGGCCAGGCTAGTCTCAAACTCTTGACCTCAAGTGACCTCAAGTGATCCGCTTTAGTTAAATGTTTTTATGAGAAGTTTTTTTTTAAATGACATCTGTATATTATAGTAACTGTATGCTAAAAATTGCTATAAGGCCACGCACGGTGGCTCATGCCTGTAATCTCAGCACTTTGGGAGGCCAAGGCAAGAGGATTGCTTGAGCCCAGGTGTTCGAGAACAGCCTGGGCAACACAGGAAAACCCGATCTCTACAAAAAAGTAAAAAAATAGTCAGACTTGGTGGTGCATGCCTGTACTCCCAGCTACTTAGGAGGCTGAGGTGGGAGGATCACCTGACTCCAGGAGGTTGAGGCTGCAGTGAGTTGTGATTATGCCACTGTACTCAAGCCTGGGTGATAGAGCAAGACCCTGTCTGAAAAAATAAATAAGTAAATAAAAATTGCTATATTTAGGCACTCTGGTTACATGTACTCTTTTTGCAGCGCATCTATGTAAGGCAGTAACTACCTTGAAAAGTGAAGATACCATTTTTAGGTTTTGTGAAGTTTTGTATATGTACTTGGAATCCAGCAAGACAGTATAATGATAATGAAAGGCAATGCAAATAAATAATTATTTGTATCTCTTCAGTGTCTACTTTAAATATTTTATAATGGTGAAGACATCGTTACCTGGAATTCTCATAGTTGTATGACATTTTACTTTGAAAGAGCCATCTATCTGTTAAATTATGAAGACAGTTCTTAGAAGAGAAAAACCTGAGTTTATATTAAAGATTTGGACTTATTTTTCTGGAGATCAGTTATTTTCTTTATTATGCCTTCTAATGATAAGGGGTTTTGTCTTTTTTTAGGAAGGTGGAGTGTTTACTTTTGGAGCTGGAGGGTATGGTCAGTTGGGCCATAATTCTACCAGTCATGAAATAAACCCAAGGAAAGTTTTTGAACTTATGGGAAGCATTGTCACTCAGATTGCTTGTGGACGGTAAGGTGTTATATAAAAGAGCATTCTGGTCTCTAAACTGCAGTTGTTTAGGGATTGCTTATTGAATTGTTTCAGGGATCCTAATAATCTGAGGAAACACGTTCTCCCTCCAAATACCTATTTTGCCACTGAGGAGTCATAGTAACAGGAGAAACATCTTTTTTAACTGTTACTTTATCTTTACTTGAACAGATTTAGCTGAGGCAAGATGTTAATAAGGTATATGTAATATTATATTTATTGTATTTGATATTGCACTCAAAAGGCTTCTTTCTTTCCACGTTTTTTTCTTTTCTTTTCTTTTTTGGGTGATAGAGTCTTGCTATGTCACCCAGGCTGGAGTGCAGTGCCACAATTGTGGCTTATTGCAGCCTCAACCTCCTATGCTCAAGTGATCCTCTTGCCTCAACCTTTTGAGTAACTGGGACTACAGGAATGCACTACCATGCCCAGCTAATTTTACTTTTTTAATTTTTAGAAGCAACAAGGTCTCATTATGTTGCCCAGGCTTACCTTTTTTCCTTAAAGGGTGAGGAGATCGACCAGTTAATTAAGACAGAATTAATGTGATGAAAGTTTGATTGGTATAATTAAACCAATTATTTCCTAATTCTCCTTATTGTGAGTTCTTGGGAGTAAATAGAAGAGTCTTTGGCATTGAGCTTCATCTATTGATTCTTAGGTCTTGGGAATAAATAGAGGAGTCTTTGAGTTGAACTTCATCTTTGGGGGAACTAAATTGAGCATACTCCCAAGTAACAAAATGTACCTTTTTTGAACACTTAATTTAATTTTGATCAGCTTGCTTAATGTTTTTCTACCTTATATGCATATCTATACAATAATTTTATCAACTATTAGCTTCAAATGCATGTAATCACACTGTAAGTATTCTTTGGTGATTATTATTTTCCTCTTTAATGGTATCCTGTAGTTCCCCTAGACTCTCCACATTTTTTTAAGATCTCTTTCTGTTCCACAGACTCAATAATTTCAATTGTCCTATCTTTATATTTGCTGATTTTTCTTCTGCTTTCTGAAATCTGCCTTCAGATCTCTTTAGTGTGTTTTTTATTTCAGATATTGTACTTTCCAACTCCAGAATTTTTTTTTTTAGTTTTTCTTTTTGATTGGTATTTCCATTTTGTTCCTAATTTTTTTTTTCTTTTTACACGTCTTACTCTAGTTATTTGAGCATCTTTAGGATGTTTGATTTAGTCTTTGTCTTTTAGGTCTGCCATTTGACCTTTCTCAGGGGTAGTTTCTATTGTTGGTTTATATTTTCTTTGAATGGGCCACCCTTGCCTGCTACTTACTACATAGTAACAGGAGAAACATCTTTTCTCCTTGTGATGTTTTTTGAAAACTGGATGTTTAACTCTAGTAATGTGGTAACTGGAAATCAGATTCTCCCCCTTCGCCAGAGTTTGCTGATTTCTGGTTTTTGATTGTTGTACGCTGTCTCTGTGTCAGGAGTCTCCCTGAGGTATAAAAATGAGGTCTTTGCAGATCTTTTCTTAGCCTGTACCTTTCCCTGCTAATGCACAGTGACTTTCTAAATTCACCCATAAATGTGGTTGCTTTTTAATGTTCTAGACCTTAAATGCCTGGTTCCCCAAAGAAATAAAGAAAAAAATGAAAGGTGGGGGCGAAAGGAGAGTGGAAGAAAGAAAGAGAAAGGCATCAGCTCTTTGAATTCCTTGGAAGTCTCTTTAGCCAGAATGGGAGAGTGTACAACAGTGATTGCCTGCCTTTCTGCACCTTGACGATCAGAAGCACCAATCAGTGATCAGGGCACCAGTTCCTAAAAGGGACAAAGTCCTTTTTGCCCACCCTGGCTTCTACAAGTTGCGTACAAGCTGCTCCTGAAACCTGTTCATGGCTCCCTTACACAGGAGTAAGAAATGGGTAACTGCTACCATGCTATGATCTGAAATTGAAATTAACCAGAGTTTGCCATCCATCTCTTCTCTTGGAAATAACAAACCTCTGCATAGACTCCAGAGTTGCAAAATGGTTCTGTAGGACAGATTCTGCCAGTGTAATTGTTGTCCAGGTGGGAAACAGATTCTTGGTGCTTCTTATTCCACGATTTTCCAAGAATCCCCTTGTCTAGCTCCATTTTTGAAAATCCTTTACCCTCCTACTGTATGGTGTCACTATTGCCATAAGTTGGTATATGTACATGGATCTCTTTCTATGATCTCTACTTTTTCAATCTATATGCCTGCCCCTGTGCCACTTAAACACTATATAGACACCATAATAACTTCTTCTATTTGGGGTAAAGTGACTCCTTGTTATCTTCTGTTCTTTAAGAATGCTTTGGCTGGATTGGGTGCGGTGGCTCACGCCTGTAATTCCAGCACTTTCGGAGGCTGAGGCGGGTGGATCACCTGAGGTCGGGAGTTCGAGACCAGCCTGACCAACATGGTGAAACACCGTCTCTACTAAAAATACAAAATTAGCCGGGTGTGTTGGCACATGCCTGTAATCCCAGCTACTCGAGAGACTGAGGCAGGAGAATCGCTGGAACCCGGGAGGCGGAGGTTGCAGTGAGCCAAGATCGCGCCATTGCGCTCCAGCCTGGGCAACAAGAGCAAAACTCCATCTCAAAAAGAAAATAAATAAAGAATGCTTTGGCTGATGATGACCTTTATTACTTTCATATAAATTTTTGCATAGGTCTGTCAAGTTCTCTCAAAGAAAAAAAAAAGCCTTGTGGGATTTTGATTGGTAATGCATTGAATCTCTAGGTTAATTTGGGGAAAAGTTGTTATCTTTATAATATTAACTTTTCTAATAATCAGCTTTCAAACTTCTTTAATGTCTTATAATAAAGTGTTTGAAAATTTTCATCATAGAGGTCTTGTATATCTTTTCATAGGTTCCTAGGTTTGTCTTTAATGGTATTATATTTTTATTTCCACCTTCTGAGGAATCACTGGCATGTAGAAATAGTTGATATTTACATATTGATTTTAAATACAGCCACCTTGCTAAACTCTTAATAAGTTACTCATGTACATAGTCATATCATCTGTGAGTCAATTCAGTTCTGTTTTGTTATTTCTGTTATTTATACTTAATGTGTTTATATAATTGTCTTAACGTGCTGGTTAGGACATCATTATAATGTTTACTGTAAACATGTTTCCTTTCTGCGGGAAAACTTTCAATATTTCACAGTTAAGTATAATGTTTGCTGTTAAGATTTTTGTAGATAACCTCTATCAGACTAAGTAATTTCCCTTTTATTCCTAGTTTTTTTTTTTATTGTGACTAGATGTTAAGTTTTTAATGTTATTTTTTCTGTATCGAAATGATTTATGATTTTTTTTCCTTTAATCTGTTAATGTGGCATATTGATGGATTTTTTTTCTAGTTAACAGCTTTGTTTTTCTGGAATAACTTCAATTTGGTCAAATATTATCCTTTTTATTTAGGGCTGGGCTTGATTTGTGAATATTCTGTTTACTATTATTTATATTTCTGTTTATCAGTGAACTTGATCTATAATTTTTTTCTTATTATTCTTTTCACCAGATTTTATTATGAAGGTTTTATAGTCTGATAAAATAACATTGAGGAAAGTACTTTTGTTTTCTAATTCTTGGAAATAGAACAGCTTGAAATGTTGGTAGAACTTGTCATTAAAGCCATTCGTGCCTAGCATTTTATTTTTTAGAATTTAAAAAACATTCTTCAATCTAGTGACTATAAGATAACTTTTATTATTTCTTGAGTCAGTTATGTGAACGTTAATTTTTTTCTAAGAATGTTTTTTCATTTTGCTTAAGTTTAAACTTACAGACATAGGCCAGGCATGGTGGTTCACGCCTGTAATCCCAGCACTTTGGGAGGCCGAGGCTGGCGGATCACCTGAGGTTAGGGGTTCATGACCAGCTTGGCCAACATGGCGAAAAAACCCCGTCTCTACTAAAAATAGAAAAATTAGCTGGGCGTGGTGGCACGTACCTATAATCCCAGCTACTGGGGAGGCTTATGAGACAGGAGAATTGCTTGATCCCAGGAGGCGGAAGTTGCAGTGAGCTGAGATCGCGCCACTGCACTCCGGCCTGGGCAACAGAGCAAAAATACTGTCTCAAAAAATAAATAAATAAACTTATTTACATAAAACTTATAATGTCTGTATTGGTCTCTTGTGCACAAACAACATGTCAGTGACATATAATGGTAAATGTTTATTTCTTTCTTTGTGGTTCAGTAAAGTGGTTCATCCTTGGGCCTTGGGCTATCTGGAGCAGCTTTTATTTAGCCTAGAGATTGACTGGGGCAGTTCTGTTTCAGGCTGCCTCTTCACTGGGGTGACTTGGTTCAGGCTGTGTTTCAGCTCAGGTGGCTTTGTTACATATCTCATTCTTGGGACTATACCAGAGGAGCAGTGGGCTGCCTCTGGGTATTCTTCTGATGGAGACAAATACACAAGAAGGCAAACTCAACTGTGCATTACATTTCAGGCCTTCTGCTTGCATCACATTCACTGAAATCTTGTTGACCAAAAGCAAACTATATGGCCAAACCTAAAGTTAAGGTATGGGAAATATAATATACAGCCCAACCACCATCAGGCTATAATGGGAATATGAGTGCTTAATACTACAGGGTGATGAATTTAAATCATTTTTTTAGGTGACATGTTTTGTTAGTCCTTTGTGAAATATCACAGATGATTTAATGTTATCCAGTTTTGTAATTCTTAATGGCCAAAATGTACATGATTTGAATAGTTATTCTTAGCTCTGTAAACCAGTTCTTTTCAGCAATTTTATTCATGTAACTGTTGGATCTGGGGTAAAATTTCGACTATTGAGTGAGATCTAAGGACTTAACCTAAACAGGAAATGTAAGTAGATATTTGGTATTTTGATCAGTTGGACTTCCAAGTAGTCAGTCCTATAAGAAATATGTATTATTGGGCCAGGCGCAGTGAGTGGCTCAAGCCTGTAATCCCAGCACTTTGGGAGGCCAAGGCGGGCAGATCACAAGGTCAAGAGATTGAGACCATCCTGACCAACATGGTGAAACTCCGTTTCTACTAAAAATACAAAAATTAGCTGGGCATGGTGACACATGCCTGCAGTCCCAGCTAGTCGGGAGGTTGAGGCAGGAGACTAACTTGAACCCAGGAGGTGGAGGTTGCAGTGAACTGAGATCATGCCACTGCACTCCAGCCTGGCAACAGAGTGAGACTCCGTCTCAAAAATAAATAAATAATAAAAATTTAAAGAAAGACATATGTATTATTTCTTTATTCAATAATTGTCAAAAACCTCCTGAACGAAGCAGTCAGGATTACCAAAATGTCAGTGCATCAGTAGATGATCCAAAAGAAAAAAGTTTACATTCTAGTAGTATAATAAAGTGCTTTCGAGCTCTTACATCAAATCTAGAGCTTAAGGTAGTTCTGTTCATTCAGTGGCGCTGAACCCCGCTTTATACTATAATCACACACATATATATGTACATATATTTTTTAGATATATGTACATATATCTTGCTCTGTTGCCCAGGCTGGAGTGCAGTGGCACAATCTTGGCTCACTGCCACCTCTGCCTCCCAGGTTCAAGCAATCCTCCTGCCTCAGCCTCCTGAGTAGGTGGGACTAGTATTGCAGTAATTTTCAAACTATTAATATGTTCCTTTCAAGATGGCTGCTTCCTGAGGGAGAGTAGTAATCCGGCAGCCTAGCTAACTTGAAAACTCTTTTGAATCAAAACCCCTTTAAAATAACATATGTGAGTTTGCCAGGATGTAAAGAGAACTCCCCCTGGCAAAAACAATAATTATTTAGCTAATAGTTCTTTGCTTTAGTAATTTTGGCCAGGCTTAGCTGGGCTGCTCTCATCTTAGCTGGTTTAGATGATCAGTTGATCTGGCTAGGAGCTGGGAGTCTAGGATGGCCTTAGCTGGGGCAGTTTGTCTCTGTTCCAGATTGTAGATCATCCTTTAGCTGCTAACCGTGGTTTATTCTTATGATGGTAGAGCAGAATTCCTAAAGATAGTTAGGGAAAGAGTGTATAAGGCCATTAGGTTTTGAAGTTGATCTGTTTAGTGACGAGCTAATTAATACATTACCCAGATTGGCAAATTCTTTCAGGGTAGCTCCAAAGTCAATTTAAATTAACAGCTTTGGTTTTCCAATTTCTTTGTTTTTGCCAGCAGTTGTTCCCAGCAACACTGGAAATCTCTTTCTCCATGTCTTAAATCCAAGTCCTAATCTATAGCTTGCTTTGGCCAGCAGAAACGATAGTGTCTGCGTTCTGAGCCTATGCCAAAGCAAGCTATAGATTAGGACTTGGAATTCTGCTCTACCATTATAAGAATAAACCACTGCAACAGTCATATTGCATAAGATATGGGTATGGGGAGAGGGATAGTTTCAGCCACTTTTATGAACAGTATGCCACAAATGGCAAAGAGGTTTAGAGCAAGAGATGAGATCTAAGACCTGATAGAAACAAGGGTGAGACCTGGAGATGCCATGTCCTCTCAATAAAACCATCTCATGGTTAGGGTACACAATGAAATACTTCCGTGCTTGCATAAGGAGGCTTTTTCTGAGGAGCTGGATAGGTTTACTGAGAGTGGATTGGTGGGCCATCCTTAGCTTCAGTTCTGTTATTTCTTAGGTTTTGTTTCACTATTGTACCTCCAGAGGAGTTTTGGTGCATACATATAGAGATCATTTTCCTCAGAAGAAAGGAAACATTGTTTCTGTCATGCATAAGTGTATATAACAATCTTCTGATTGGTACTAGGTTACTTCCCATTTCTTAGCCTAAAACTTCTTGGTGATGCCCAAATGGAGGACTTTCATAGACCACAGCTGTGGACTAGAACTTGGCAAGGGGAGTAGTGGGGACTTCCTTGAACAACATAGTTAGATGCTACTCTGGTGCTGAATCATCTATCGTAAGGGATTTCAGTATAGACCTGGGCCATTTAAAATTTAAACATTAGTGGAAATTTTCTGGACTATGCTCATGCAGCCTGTGTGATGCAGAATTCATTCTGTAGATTAAGGCTGTTAACGAATATTTATACAGAAGCTTTGGAACTACAATTGGTTTTGTTAATTTATTTTTTGAAAAAAGATACCTCTTAATATTTTCTCTGCTTTTGTCATTGTAAATTGTTGGAAAGTAAAATTAAGCCTGAGGTTTTCTATCATTTTACTCTAGGCAGCACACTTCTGCTTTTGTTCCTTCATCAGGACGAATTTACTCTTTTGGGCTTGGTGGTAATGGGCAGCTGGGAACCGGTTCAACAAGCAACAGAAAAAGTCCCTTTACTGTAAAAGGAAATTGGTACCCTTATAATGGGCAATGTCTACCAGATACTGGTAAGTTCTGTTATATTAAAGCTTTCCTTCATATATTAAAGTTCGTGTTAAAATGTTGCTCTTAAGTCATGAAGATTTCTGCAAAAGAGTTCCAAGATATATTGTTAAGTGAAAACAGCAAAATACAGAACAATGTATATGGTTGTTTGATTTGCTTATATTGTAAGTGCATAAGGAAATTCTGGATAAGTAAAAGTTACTTACAGTGAGTGGGTCATGTGGGAACTAGGAGATGGCTAGATACCAGTGGGAGGGATTTTTGTTTGTTTTCTATTTTAAATTGTGGTAAAATATGCACAATGTAAAATTTACAGACTTAACCATTTTTTTAATTAGCATTAAGTATATTCACGTTATTATGTAACCAATCTCTAGAGCTCTTTTCATCTTGAGGAACTAAAACTGTATATGCATTAAACAGCAACTCTCCATTCCCTTCTCTTCCTAGTGCCTGGCAACCTCTATTCTACTTTCTTGTCTCTATGGATTTGACTTAACACTAGGCTAGGTACCTCAAAGGAGTGAAATCGTATGGTAGTGTTTCTTTTTGTGACTCACTTATTTCACTAAGCATAATGTCCTCAAGGTTCATCTATGTTGTAGCACGTGTTAGAATTTCCTTCCTTTTTAAGCTGTGTAATTCAGGCATACCTTGGAGATATTGTGGACTCAGTTCCAAACCACTGCAATGAAGCAAATACTGCAATGAAGCAAATATCGTAATAAAGCAAATCACAAAATTTTCGGTATCCTAGTGCATATAAAAGTTATATTTATACTATATTGTAGTCTACTAAGTGTGCAATAATGACATTATGTCTTAAAAGACTATGTATATGCTTTAGTTTAAAAATATACTTTATTGCTTAATGCTGACACAGAGATGTGAAGTGAGCACATGCTGTTGGAAAAATGATGCTGATAGACTTGTTCTATGCAGGGTTGCCCCGAACCTTCAATTTGTAAAAATCACAGTATCTGAGAAGCACAGTAAAGCAAAGCACAATAAAATGAGGCATGCCCGTGTTCTTATTATATGAATGTGGTTTGTGGCACCCAAAACAATTGCAATAGTAACATTAAGATCACTGACCATAGATCACCATAAAAGAATGATAATGAAAAATATTGAAATATTACAAGAATTGCTAAAGCTCATAAGCTTTACTGAATTTTTGATACTGAATTTTTACAAATTGAAGGTTTTTGACAACACTGCATTGAGCAAGTCTATTGGCACCATTTTTCCAACAGCATGTATACTCATTTTGTGTCTTTATGTCACATTTTGGTAATTCTTAACAATATTTCAAAACTTTTATGTTGTTACTATATCTGTAATGGTGATCTGTGATCAGTGATCATTAATGTAATTGTTTTGGGGTGCCATGAACCTTACCTATATAAGACAACAAACTTAATTGATAAATGTGTATGTTCTGACTGCTCCACCAGCTGGCCATTCCCATCTGTCTCCTTTCCTTGGGCTTTCCTGCTCCTTGAGGCACAACAGTGTTGAAATTAGGCCAGTTATTAACCCTACAATGGCCTCTAAGTATGTAAGTAAAAAGAAGAGTCACACATCTCTCACTTTTAAATCAAAAGCTAGAAAGGATTGTGCTTAGTGAAGAAGGCATGTCAAAAGCCGAGATAGACTGAGAGCAAGGCTTCTTGTGCCAGTTATCCAAGTTGTTAATGCAATTTGAAGGAAATTAAAAGTGCTGCTCTGGTGAATACATGAATGGTAAGAAAGTGAAAATCAGCCTTATTGCTGATATGGAGAAAATTTTAGTAGTCTGAATAGAAAATCAAACACGCCACAACATTAGGATTAGCCAAAGTCTAATCCAGACCAAGATTCTAACTCTCTCCAAGTCTCTGAAGGCTGAGAGAGGTAAGGAAGCTGCAGAAGAAAAGCTTGAAGCTAGCAAAGATTAGTTCATGAAGTTTAAGGAAAGAAACCATCTCCATAACATAAAAGTCCTGATGTATATGCTACACCAAGTTATCTAGCATGTCTAGCTGAGGTAATTGATGAAAGTGGGTACACTAAACAACAGATTTTCAATGTCAACAAAACAGCTTTCTATTGGAAGGAAATGTCCTCTACAACTTTTCATTTATAGCTAAGAGAAGTAGTCAATGCCTGACTTCAAAGGACAGGCTGACTGTCTTTTAGGGTCTAATGCATCTAGTGACTTTGGGTTAGAGCCAGTGCTTGTTTACCATTCTGAAAATGCCAGGGCCCTCAGGAATTATGCTAAATCTACTCTGCCTTTGTTCTATAAATGGAACAACAAAGCCTGGATGACAGCTCATCTGTTTACAGCATGGCATACTGAATACATTAATATGGGCTTAAGCCCACTGTTGAGACCCACTGCTGAGTAAAAAGATTGCTTTCAAAATATTGCTGCTTATTGACAATGCACTTGGTCACATCAGAGCTCAGATGGAGATATACATGGAGATTAATGTTTTCATGCCTGCTATTAGAATATCCATTCTGCTGCCTTAGGAATAAGGAGTAATTTTGACTTTCAAGTTTTATTATTTAAGAAATACATTTCATAAGACTGCAGTTACCATATATAGTGATTCCTCTGATGGTTCTGGGCAAAGTAAATTGAAAACCTTCAAAGAATTCACTATTCCAGTTACTAAGAACATTTGTGAAGTGAGAAGATTGCTTGAAGCCAGGAGTTTGAGACTAACCTGGGCAACATAGTGAGACACTGTCTCTACAAAAAATAATTTTAAAATGCCAGGTGTGGTTGCACATGCTACTTGGGAGGCTTAGGCAAGAGGATTGCTTGAGCTTAGGAGTTGAATGTTTACAGTGAGCTATGATCATACTAGTACACTCCAGCCTAGGTGACAGAGCAAGACCCTGTCTTTGATTCGTGGGAGGAAGTCAAAATATCAACAATAACAGTTTAGAAGAATTTTTTTCCAACCTTCATGGATGACTGAGGGGCTCAAGACTTCATTCGAAGAACTTAACTATAGATATGGTGGAAATAACAAGAGAACTAGAACTAAAGCCTGAAAATGTGACTGAATTGCTGCAATCTTACGATAAAAAATACCCCTCATCCAGTCCCAGGACATCTCAAAGCTCTGCAGAAAGAACTTGAGCAATTTGCCAAGCTCCTGAAGCAGAAGAGGATCACCCTGGGATATACACAGGCCTGTGTGGGGCTTACCCTGGGGGTTCTATTTGGGTAGGTGTTCAGCCCAACAACCATCTGCCTCTTTGAGGCTCAGCAGCTTAGCTTCAAGAACATGAGTAAGCAGCGGCCCTTGCTGCAGAAGTGGGTGGAGGAAGCTGACAACAATGAAAATATTCAGGAGATGCAAAGCAGAAACTCTCGTGCAGGCCTGAAAGAGAAAGCGAACCAGTATTGAGAACCTGGAGAATTTGTTCCTGCAGTGCCCGGAACCCACACTGCAGCAGATCAGTCACATCGCCCAGCAGCTTGGGCTCTAGAAGGATGTGATCTGAGTGTGGTTCTGTAACTGGTGCCAGAAGGGCAAGTGATCAAGCAGTGATTATGCACCATGAGAGGATTTTGAGGCTGCTGGGTCTCCTTTCTCAGGGGCATCAGTGTCCTTTCCTCTGGCCTCAGGGCCCCATTTTGATACCCCAGGCTATGGGAGGCCTCATTGCACTGCACTGCACTGTATTCCTCATTCCCTTTCCCTGAGGGGGAAGCCTTTCCCCCTGTTTCCATTGCCACTCTGGGCTCTCCCATGCATTCAAACTGAGGTGCTTGCCCTTCTAGGAATGGGGTACAGGGAGACGGTGGAAGTTAGGGAAAGAGAACCTGGAGTCTGGGCAAGGATTTTGGTATTAAGTTCTTCATTCAGTAAGGAGGGAATTGGGAACATAAAGGGTGGGGGCTGGGGAGTTTGGGGCAACTGGTTGGAGGGAAGGTGAAATTCAGTGATGCTCTTGATTTTAATCTCCATATCATGTATCACTTTTTTCTTAAAGAAGCCTGGGATACAGTAGGTAGAGAGAGGAAAAAAAGAAAAATACTCCTCATCCATTTGTGTTTTATGGATGAGCAAAGAACGTGTTTTCTTGAGATGGAACCTACTGCTAGTGAAGATGCTATGAACATTATAGAAATGACAACAAAGTATTTAGAATATTCCATAAACTTAGTTGACAAATCTGCAGCAGGGGTTGAGAGGCTTGACTTTACTTTTGAAAGCAATTCCATGGGTAAAATGCTATCACACAGCATCTGCTGGTATAGAGAAATCTTTTATGAAAAGAAGTCAATCAGTGTAGCAAACTTTGTTGCTGTCTTAAGAAATTGCCACAGCTACCCCAGCCTTCAGCAGTCAACACCATGATCAACATTGACACCATCAACATTGACACTGAGGCGAGACCCTCCATCAACAAAAAGATGAAGACTTGCTGAGGCTCAATTGATTATTAGCATTTTTTAGCAATAAAGTGATTTTAAATTAAGGTATATGGATTTTTTTTTTTAAGATACAATGCTATTGCACACTTAATAGACTACAGTATATTGGCCTGGGCACAGTGGCTCATGCCTGTAATACCAGTGCTTTGGAAAGCCAAGGCAAGAGAATCACTTGAGGCCCGGAGTTTGGGACCAGCTGAGGCCACATAGACCCTCATCTCTATCAAAGAAAAAAAAAGAAAAACCAACTGTGTCAATGGACTATGGTATCATGTAAACATCCTTTTTTTCCTTCTTTTTTTTTTTTTAATGAGACAGAGTCTTGCTCTGTCACCCAGGCTGGAAGTGCAGTGGTGCAATCTCAGTTTACTGCAACCTCCACCTCATGGGTTCAAGTGATTCTTATGGCTTAGTCACCCTAATAGCTAGGATTTCAGGTACGTACCACCACATCTGGCTAAATTTTTTAGTATTTTTAGTAGAGACAGGGTTTCAACATGTTGGCCAGTCTGGTCTCAAACTTCTGGCCTTATGTGATCTGCCCACCTTGGCCTCCTA